AACTCCTTTCGAAAAGGTAAAACCTCATTGCACATCTACAGCCCAAGCCCTCTAATTCGAAGCCTAATTTTTTATAATCGAACAAACGGTGCAAATCTTATGAACGTACATATATTACATAAATACATATATAGATATAGATATAGCCTTTTTTATGAGGTATAGTACGAGTTACGGACGTGACATTAGGGACACGACAGATTTTTCCTAATAATGAAGAAAAACGTCAAGCTAATTTTATGTACTGTGGTGTAGTGGTTAATAGTGCGCTATCGTTCCGAAGGGTCTGAGATCGAGCCCAGTAATGAAAGGCAAATCTCAAATTATTAGCCGTCAAATTGCTTGTGCTTGTTATTCTCACCCAAGAAAAAGTTTTTTTTTTATCTCTGCCACTGTGATCACCTTTTTTTTTGCTATATTAAGCAATTTAATTTTATTTTATAGACTAATCTAGAGCAAAGAAAACGGCGAGGTTGGGTAACTTGATGTAAGCTCTAATTAAAATACTAATTTCTTTCTTACCTAATGGATAAAGAAAGTGAGCGGGAGTTTTTACATAAAACTTGAAACTTTTAAATGAAAAATCTCAAGGAAGATCAACTGAATCGCAAATCCTTTTTCCGGAAGCTCAATAAATCCGATTTATAAATGTGTAGATTTAAAGATATAAACTGACATACCCGTATATATGTATGTATGTAACTATCTCATCTCTTTATTAGATTTTGCGTGCCTTTACGCATTTGTGACATTTCATAAGGCCAATTGGGGTTTATGATTATTATCATTATTACTATAATTGTATCGAATGCTTCATTTTTTTTAGCATTTCAAAACGATTTGCCTATAAAAATCAGTAAATGACAATAGTTTGGCTAATTTCATGCCCAGACTCATTTATGTATGTATGTAGGTAAGCGCTTTAGGCAGAAACAAATAAGTCGGACAGTATATATTTACATATATGTATGTATGCAAATGAGCACACGACCATTCTTACGAACACACACATTTGAACTCCATTGCAGTATGCCATTCATGGCATTTTCCGATAATGGCACAATAGAAATCCGCGCAATTTAACCAAAAGCTTTGATATGCTTTTGATACGAATAATTGCCTTTAATGTGTGTGTCATAGCAATAAAGCGTATTGCGCGTATGCTTCTTAACGAGCCGTCTACACGTCCTCTCTACGCACACAAACATATTTCTATGTACTCGTATGAATGTATGTATATACGTTTGATAAATGCGGCTACATGCCGCTATAAGATTATCTCTTTATACCACCAAATTGTCAATGGCTTTGATATTGAGGACCTTCACACATACTCCCAAATTTGAGGAGGGTAGGAACAAATTAAAAGTTGTGTATGTATGCCTCACGCCTTGGCTTAAACCAAATAAGGCAGGCAAATCGATTGTAAATTTTTATGTGCCGATTTAATGCGTTTGTTCTAACTTCTGCGATAGGAGTGAAATCAAAGCATATGCAGTCAAAATATTAGCTCTTCATAGCCACAAGTGGCTTAGAGAGTAATCTTAATTTGTTTATTTATTTATTTATTTTTTTCTGTTTGAAAAGTTTACCTAGTCTGTGAAGATTAAATTTAGTAGTAATAAAAATAGAGAGAAGATTAAATAGAAGTACCAACTATTAATAAAATAAAGCTTATCTTGATAGTTTACTAACATACACACGTGCATACATGCACAGTAATGTTTGTATGAACTTAAAGAAAATTGCAAAGGGGGTTGAAATTAGGCTAAAACCTGTATAAGCTACATAAAATGTTATGAGCTTTTCTAGGGTTTTAAATTATTTTTGTCTTTCTAAAACAAATTCAATACTCTTTATCTAGATAAAGTAAAGTAAATATAAATTTTCTTTGGCATTGTACGACTTTGTAGAGAAGAGAAGCAAATGTGTCAAATATTTAGGAAAAACTTTTAGGCCGTTTAGGCTTACTTTGTAGAAACAGAATTAGAAACATTTGTATTTACAGTAACTATTTGGATACTACATAAATACACTAGCCTGGTTCAAAAAAAATCTACTATCTTTTTTTTCAAAATCCCCTGTGAAATATTTTCGGGAGAGTGAAAAAAGACGAATGTCAAAAGCGCAGCCCTTTTTATTAAGATTTACAGGTCACTCATCGCGAATTGCTATTTGCCATACAAATAACACAAATAAATTGTTTTCTGCGTTAAGAAATTTGACATTTTTTTTTAATTTTTTATATTTTTTATAACAAAGTGCAAGCTTAAGTGGATACAAAGAACCGTTAATTTTTGGCAATTCTTTTTCTTTTGTTGACGGTCTTGTGTATTTTACTCCATATATTTTGACTTTAACCTTGAATAAGTTTTGGAGAGGTAAATTTATGGAAAAATCATTTTTATACAACTTTCAATTTCCTTCAAAAATATATGTATATCGCTCATTTAAGTTGACTAAAAACCGAGTTATGAAATTTGAAAATTGGATGGGTTGGTGAAAAAATATGTTATTTACACCGACATGATTCGGGCATGACTCTAAATGACTCAACTGTGTGTAGTCGAAAGGCGAGTCAACACGGCGAGTCAACACATGTTGTTTCATTTTAGTGTTTTTTTTTTATAAAAATGTTATTTGTCATTCAACACAAACCGTGTAAGTCCAAGATTAAACTTTGTGAAATATGTAGTAAGGCAAAAAAAGTTCAACAAACCTTCATAATTGTGTAGATCCTATGGTTTAGTATCGAACTGCAATTACTGTTTTGTTTGTTATACTCTTATACTCGCTCAGCAGCGCAAACGAGCAAACTGAATTTTCTCACTAGCTAAGCACAGTTATAAGTCTAACTAATGTAATCAGGTTAAGCATTTATATACATGAAATAAAATAAAGAGCCAGTTGGATTTTGAAGCTCCAAGCGTCAGGTATTTGGTTTCCACGCCAGGGTAGAACACTTTAATAATCATGTCAATTAGATTACTTAGAAAGATTTTGAGTAAGGAGTTTTGTAGGCCATTGAATTTAAGTGCAGGTTTTGAGATTCTAAATAAATTTGAAAAATTTATGATCATATTCGTAATCAGCGACCCAAAAATCGCCGAGGACCAAATTTAAAGTGCATCCAATTATTTTTTAAATTTTGGTCCGTATTTTGGATTTCAAAAAACGCCATTAATCAAATAAAAGTAAACATTTTTACCAAATTTGCACGAATATAACCTTTTTTTTTGCTCCCCATACCAAAAAAATTAGTATTTTTTCCCCTCGGAAGTAAAAAAAAATTATCATGTTCTAAGTATTTCACCAAAATAAGTGTTCGGAAAAAATATTAAGATTTACGTGAGCTGGACCTATTTGAAAATAACTCCAAAAATCGAGCTTTTTAGTTTTTAAATATATATATTTTTTTTTTAAATCACCTCAGATGATAGAAGAGCTTAAATCAAAAGGTCTGCATAAAAATGTTTACAAATTATAATATTGTAATATGTTGGCGGAGAACTTCGAAAATAACAAATTTTTCAAATTCCGGTGGAAAAACGGCAACCTGCCTAGGCTAAACTAGTAGTTCTAACTTATACGTAATAGGATAAACTGATATACTGAACTGCTTGCGGCAAAACCAATGACCAATGGTTCTTATATCCTTTTTTAGGTAGAATCCGAATCTGAACTTTAATTGGAAAAAATCTTATAGGATTCAGCTCTCAAAAGCTCAGCTGAAAAATTCTGGTGGCCAGTGTTCTCTATATACATATGTATGTACATTAGGGTGCCCATCGATTTATTTTTTTTAATTTCGAGAACGAAAGTCGTTTAAGAAGGTTGTAGTTTAAAAATATTCTAAAGTGGGCTGCCACCTGTTTAGGTTTAATTTAAATATACACAAGTTAAATGAAATATGTGTTGAAATATGGGTGCCAAACGAAAAAGTAATAAGAAATATTTTGTCTGAACATTTATAATATTTTGAGGCTTGAAATAGTTGCCACATATTTAAAAATTTAAATAAACACAAATTATTTAATATGTTCAATGAATTTTTACTAAAAGGATATCGATTAGAATGTTTTTGAAAAGTCTTTATTTCTTAACTACACGTAGAAAGGTTGCCACATCTTTAAAAGGTCAAATTAAACTTGACTTAAGGTAGTTTAGAAATTAATATATGTATCACAATATGGGTGTCAAAGCAAATATGTTGAAGGAGGTTAAAAAAAAGAAAAATCTGATGTTGAGTTTTATTAAAATAAATTACTACCAATGTTCACTGAGCGAAACGGGTGTGGGAAAACTATTAATTAATATTTATAGATTTCATTATAAACTCTTAGCAAGTATTTAGTATATCAAGCCGACTTCAGGACCAAATGTCGACACTAACTAGATTAAAATCAAAGAGAAATATATTTTAATTAAAGTTTGTGTTGTCTTATTTACAACAGACTTTATCTTATGGTTATGCGCAAATAAGTACTAAGACTCCTTTTCTTACTGTTCCCACAAGCTGCTTGCCACAAAGTTCTTTAATAGTGTTTACGCAATTGTCCACTCAAGCTTAAGTAGACTGCCACAATTTCAATTCCGTGTCCCCAACATTAACCAAAAGGCAGACAGCTTGCAAAAGCTCATTTCAATTATTTTAAATTAACGATCTGCTGCGGGTCGTTAGCGGTTGTTTTAATTTTCGACACCTACCGCGCAACCCGCGCCTCAACAGCTAGTAGCTATATATATGTATGTAGTTGCTGAGTATTTGGGTAATATTACGAGTACCGAATTTGGGCCAACTGCTGGTTCTTAATTTATCCGCTTGCCTGCCATGGCTGGGTGCAACATTAATTTCATTCTGGCAGTTTTCTCTTAATGCTTTTCCATTTGGATACGAGTATTATTCGCACGTTCCTCTATATATTCTCAAGTTTTCATTTCCATTATAACTGTACGTTTTGTCTCCGGTGTTAAACCACTGCCACTTTGTTTCTTTGCAGGACCCTGCCCGCAGGGAACGTTCGCCTGCGATGGCAATACGTTGTGCGTGCCACAGCGCCAAATTTGCGACAATCGCACAGATTGTGAGGATGGCAGCGATGAACACCCGGTCGAGTGTGGCCTACTTTATGGCAGTAAGGCGCTGACCGATAAAATTGTCGGCAATGCGATTGAACGTAGACGGCAACAACAACAACAACAAAGACAAAAACAGCGGCAGCAGCAGCAGCAGCAGAGCGGGCAATTTCTTGGCGGAGCAGCAGGAGAATTGATGAATGTGACAAGCGTGGGAGTGCCACCAGAAGAGGAAGAATCCATTGACACTGTTGGCGGTGGGCATCGTACGCAAGTAATTGCCAGCGCTGGCGGCAGCAGTAGTAGTGTGGGCAACATGTATGCCAGCGGTGACAACGAAGAAGTTGCAAACTGTGGTAAGAAGTGCTCATTAAAAAGCGACCGCGCGCAGCGTTTAATGTCTCCATGGACGCATTCTTCTTCTACGCGAATTTCACCTTTATTTATTCATCTATTCATTCATTACAGAAATTACAACATATCCTAAAGGTGTATGCACTTGTCGACAGCGTACAATATTATATTGCGGCCGCAAAGCGAAATTGACGCGTATACCGCGCTTAAGTGCAGAAGTACGTATGTATGCACATGCTTAAAACTTAAGCCACACAAAACGCAAGAACTTAATTCAAAAGGCTCAATGGAATTTGACCATTTCTTGCAGGTGACGTACTTGATGATCGGCCGCAGTAATTTGACACTGCGTGAGAATGCCTTTATTGGACTGAAACGCTTGGTGAAGCTGTAAGTAACGGAAGTGAGCAAAATACAGTAGAAAAGAATTGAAGGCATAGCAGCGTTCAATAGAGGCCTTTGACCCTTTTTCGGCATTTGCGCTAATCTTAATGCCTATTTACTACGATTTATAGCAACGTCTTTGTTTGCTTCTTTTTTCTTTCCTTCTTACTTCTCTAACTTCACGCCTTTTACTTTATATATGTAATCTATTATTTCTTTATCTGTCCTTTCCATCGCACTTACTCGTGTGTACATACATACATATATGTATATGTGTGTGTTTCGCCTTCTACCGCGGTAGCTCACTGAAGCATTGCAACATATCGCATGTGCCGCTGGGCACATTTAATGGCCTACACCAGTTGGAGAAATTGGATGTGCGGCACAATAATATCAGCGCGCTGCCAGTCGGCACATTTCGTGGCATGAACTTTTTGGTGTGGCTTTTCTTCATTTCGAATCAATTGCGTCAGTTGCCGTTGGCACAATTTGCGGACATGCCACGCCTTGAATGGCTGATGCTGAGTGATAATTTACTCACACTTCGTAACGAGAGATTTCCGCACATGCCGCGTCTATATGAAATGTGAGTAGAATATGTGTAGTGTATTAAGCGCATCTCAATCTACAAAGGTCGTGATGAGCCGGCAAAATCTGTTTATGTATATGTTTTTATGTACATATGTATGTTTATGTATATGTTTTTATGTACATATGTATGCGCATAAAACATGTTTGTTATGCGGGTGTGCATGTAAACCTGTGTGTGCAATAAAAGTCAATGTTTGAGAAAACGTTAGTCAGCTACTATACTCGTAAGTACAAACGCTATTAGATTTACATACATGCTTATGCTTGAACAGGTTATTACCAAGGAAACAAAAGTTAGCTTGAAAGTAAATGGAATGAATGCAAAACAGACAAATGATATACGAAGAAATATTTCTGATTTCGAGTTTTGTAAATTTTTTTACATAAAATTTAAGTAACAGTACTAGAATTATTACATTATTTAAAATTGTTTCAGTGTCTCGAAGATTATTTCGTCTTCGCATTCACCTTCGTATTCGATTTAGTCGCTGTCTTCGTATTCGTCTTCAGAATGTATTCGTATTCCACTCCGTTGTCACATTCTTCTTCGTATTCATCTTCAACTTAGTTGTCATTTTCGTCCTCAAAATCATCTTTGTATACGTTTTCGTCTTCGTCTCCTCTCTTAAAAGTATTTGTCTACGTATCATATTCGTATTTGCCTTTGTATTAATCTTCGCATTCCTCCTCGTCACCGTTGTCGTGTTTTTCTTCGTATTAATCTTCGTCTTCGTATTGATTTCGCTATTCGTTTCAGTGTGTCTTTGAATTTGTCTTCGCAATCATCTCCATATTCATTCTCGTAATGAATTCATCTTGATTTTTAAAAAGTTGGGCACTTTGGAGGGTGCCATGTTCCAAATTTTGTATCGCTGACAATCGTTTCCCAAGGTGTATCAGTCTGCTATGCATGTTACGTGAGTAGTTACATAGAATGCTCTCTTGGGTTTATTCCACCAGCCCCGAAAGCTGCAGTCCGTCTCTACAGAAATATCCATTTTATTCAGATAGTACCTTAATTTGCAGTGCCCTGTCAGGTAGACAGTAATGGTTCTAAGTCCCTCAGGTCCAAGTTCAAGGAGTATTTCGGAGTTTCTCCTGAAAGAGTTATGGCTCGGACGCTTGCCAATGCATTTGTGCTCCACGTTTTACGAGACAGTTCAGCTTTGCGTAGCCTTCAAAACCTTTATGTCCAGGGGCGCGCTACAGCTTTACTCTATTGTGGGCCCCCATGTGGTTCTAAAGTGTTTTACAATTGTCCACAAGCCTTGACACAACAACATTTCCTTTGCGAATGTCCCCGTCAACGAAGAATAATACTCTTATGAAAGCGATTTTTATTTTATACTCTTCTTATTTTTTTTTTTTTGGTATGATCCGAGGCCAAGGAACTTTCTCAAATACCACTCTTCTTTGCGAATTTTCACCAGCTATTCACATCAAGTGCAGACAGGGCCTTCCGCCTTTAGCACTTCTATAGTGTCCGTGCCCGCCTTTGTTTCCCTTGTCTAGAGTAGTTCATTATTCAATATTCTTCAGTAGTCATCAGCTACACGAAGAGATTTAGAGGCTTTACGAAAATCGTTCCCCCGATAACTACGACGGCATTCCCATATTTATTTGCCTTTGTCCACGTTTCTGTGCTTGTTTGATATACTCGAGACCCTGGTAATTTTCAGAGCAAACTTTGCTCTTTAAAATATCAAAAATTAAGCGGTTTCGCATCTAAAGGAAACGACAGCCGTTGCGTCGACAAAAATAAATGTTTTGACGTTGTTTTAAAGCAACTCTTAGTTGACTCGTGATTTGTATGACGGTACTGAATCATGTTAAAATCTCGAAGGTCTACGATCGTAATGCTTGTCTGTTAACAGCATCAGGGCTGATTATAACATAGTTTTCCGATATACTTGCGTATTTATTTTTACGCTACGTTCCAAAAATACGATCAGAAAGCGTCCATTAGCCGTTATGGCACCATTAGTGGTGTCTGCATTCTGGTGACCATTCGAACGTTCAGATTTTCATTTTGACGAATAAATTCGATCATTTTGTTTGTTTACATACTGCTCAAGACTCATGGAAAAACACCTATCCCGCTTCAGTCTGAGATCGTTTTCCATTAATTCGTCTATGCTTTGCGCTTGATAAGCCCATTTCAGCAGCCATTTTTCTTCCACTACGACCTAGATTTCGTTTAATCCGCTTACGAACATTCCAGAATCTAGACCATTTCAGCGCTTGTTGCTCGAAACTTATATCAGTCTGAATTTGGGAACAATGCGATTGCCTCACCCTTTAAACCGACTAGCAGATTTTCTGTTATATCTGCGTCACACAAATTTACAAATTTACTTAGTCTTGAGACGCCTTTCGATAAAGGAAAATTAAAAAAGCACAACATGAAACTAAAGGGTAGTTTATATTTAAGGACCATCATTTTTTTGCAGCATACTTGCTTCTCTATGCTTTTCTTGTATTATTTTGAAGTTAATAAACAAGTATTCGACAAAAAAAAATCAGCCATTAGCTTTCTATACAAAATGCAATATTTGAATGAAATTTTGCAGAATTTTTTTCAATTTCGCACAAGGTTTGGTACGCTGATTTTTTTTTTTGTAGAATTGACCATTTTATTATAAAAAATTAGCGAAACATAAAATGTTTAAAAAATAGTTGCCCGTATTGTAAAAAATTCGCTGTACCTAAACTTTATTGACTGACTGTATGTATACTTGTACACAATTATTTCAATGCATATCCATTAAAATAATTCTCTCTCTTTATTTATTTTTTCTTTTGCAGCTATTTGGATTCAAATCGCATTGAATATATTGCAGATGATACCTTTGCTCATTTGACTAATTTGAATTTGCTGTAAGTAATTTAAAAAAGTTAAAATTTTATTTTCTGTTGCTAAGCCCACTTTTTGTGAAAACTTAATTTTTAAAGAGATCAAATTATGTAATTATTTCAGTGACCGTAACGGTTATGAACACGGACCATCACGGTTATAACTTCCATTAAAAAATTAAATTTTACTGGTTTTTTACTGAATTTTATTTATTGGTGAGAAAATAATACTAATATTTTGAATTTTTTTGCTAAAAAAAAATTGCCAAAGATCAACGCGATTTACTTCAAACTTGCTTTTTGCAACTGCAACTGCATACTTATTTATGCAATTTTGCTGAGTTTTGCACAAAGTTTATACATGTTTTTTTTTTTTTTTGTTTTAGTACGAACTATATTTTTATAAAAAATTATCGGAAAAAATTAGAATAAAAACGTTTGCATATATTGCGAAAAATTCTATGTATAAATACTTTTGTCCGCTATCGTACCTATGTATCTTATACTACATATGTTGAGCAAAAATTGTCCAGAACCTTCCAAAGTCCATTTTTGCCCGATTTCAATAAAATTTAGTGTAGTTTTTTTACTAGCTAGGAACACATCCGTACGGGCTGCTGAGATAGATAGATTTCGTACAAATTAAAGCAGGCATCACACGATTTGTATATTTGAACACATTTTTACATTTTCGCCGTTACAGAGTGCTTTTGTTTGGAAAGTTGTTATTGACATGAAATCATTCTCGATACAAATTTCTAGACAAAACCACTCTGTGACTGCCAAATGTACAAATGTACAAATCGTGTGATCCCTGCTTTACGGAAATACGATTTTGATAAGTATACCACTGTAAAATAAATAAATTTGTTCCAGCATTTAATCGATTTCATGTGACATTTTTGGCAAGTAAAAAAATTTTGTTTTCAACCTCAATGCTCTTTAAAAACAAGTTTAACTTAAATATGAAAACAATCGGCTGTGGCATAAACCTACATACATACTTACATATGTATAAAATACAGGATCTTGTACGTGTGCATACATACACATGTACACATACATATATTCAGTTAATAAATTGCCTACATTGTTTTTATTTAATGCCAATCATTTTTCACTGTCAACAAACGAAGTAAGGGTTGGTTGCGGCATTTAGTGTCAATATCGAAGGCATTAAATCTGTTTTTCGATACAGACGAGTCGGCATAAAAAAAAACGACCAGCGACAAACATTGTACATATATTACATATTGAAAATAAAGGGACATCACGAAGCAAAAACAAATACAAATCCGTCTACATAGCTATAAAAGCGATAAATAATCAATGTGCCGCGCAGACACCTTAGCGTATTTGAATTTTTGCTGCTGTTCAGTTTTTTATAGCCATCATAGTTATTGTTACCGTTATTTGTGCTGCAGCCACAACAATGTGATGGTGGTGGTGGTGGTAGGAGTAAAGTGAGCAATTAATAAACAAAAAACGTGTTTGCGCATAAAGGTAAATACTTTCGTAGTGAAAATTTGCGAATTACTGTCACTTTGCAATACCATTTTTTTTTTTGTTTGCGTGTCGAAATGATTCATGTACGCAGGTATGTGCGTCAGACAGTTTTTGATATAGGCTACACAGTTATTTATGTTTTTAATATTGTAAGCAAAAGTGATTAATTCGTTTTGATATGAAATTTATTTGTTTTGTCTCATTTAATGCCGCCCTACAACTTCTATGGCTACTGCGAAGAGATCTCAATGAAAATCGCATCGCATACATACATCCGCGTGCCTTTTGGGGCTTAAATGACATCAGAGATATGTAAGTACAGAGAAGAAGCAGTTAGTTTAAGATCTCATTTATAGAGAAAGCAATTGAATCAGATATTTTTTGATGGATTTAGTAGGTACTAAATATGAAAGGTTCATTGGTACGGCAGTGCGTATAAGTAACCTTCAAATGAGATTGAAGTGGATACTTTTTTCACGATTTTTTTTTAAATTTATTTTTCATAAGAATACCAAATAGAAATGACAAAGCTTGAATTCAGGTAAAATGGAAAAAATAACACAGTGCAACAGCATTTTTGGGCACCTCCACATCCTTTTACATTCTCAGCTCAAATTTTTCTATGGCCATATTAAGTTTGGCGATTTTTTGCCTGAGTGTTTTAAGAATAGGCAGAAAAGGGGTTAATACTCATATTGGAGCGAAATATGTATGTAGTTTGAGTACTTATAGTTAAATTTCACGAGGAATAATTTTGTAGAGCATAAAGAGCATTAAAAAAAGCTTTAGCTTTCTTTCGAAAGGGTCGTTTCGAGCACTTTTTTGGAAATCTTGAATAAAATGGTATCTAATAGGTCCCTCGAGGGTCAACATCTTCTAAAAAATTATTCGAGAGAAAATTTCACTGGGGAAATTCTCAGACAAAAACTCTAAAAACAAAGAACACAGAAAACAATATGTCCCCTTGAAATATGCTACAACTTTTTTAAGTTTTTTTTTTTTGTATTTTAATCATGAATATATAGGATAGGGAGAATAAGATTTGCATTCGGTGAGATTTACAAAACCTGTTTTGTAGACTTTTTAACAAAAAGGCCAATAATTTTCTAGAATATTTTAACCCTCTAGCGACCCCCCAAATGTCATTTTATTTAGAATTTCCACATAGGTACCAAAGCGATCCTTTTGTGAGAGAGCTAAAGGGTTAAAATGCTCTTCAGAAAATCATTGCTCGTGAAATTTTACTATATGTACCCAAATCTGGGTTTGTGAGTATACCAACTTCTTTAAAACGATGAGCATGCTTTGAGGGCATTTCGAGCTTTTTTTCTAGGGATGTACTTAAAGTTGCACAACAATGTATTTTTCAATTCCGACTTTTGCTTCTCCGTACTTCCATCCTAGCAGCGTGGATAGACCATACGCGAGATGGCAAACCAATGGTGAGCCTTGCATCACGACAGAAAGTGAGGAAGCTTTAGTGGCGCCACTTCAAGTTATTCAACTTAAGGGACCTACTGTGCGCCAGTAGATTTGGCTGCAACTGAGTGCCTGCCTTGGAGAAAGCAGCTAGGTGTATAGCTAAATCTGCATATTTTTAAACCCCTACCCAGTACTGTTGTACTGGGCTTATCATCCGCCACGTAAAAAAAGATGACATGCTGCGACGGTTACGTAAAAAATCCATCATTGATCAGATCTTCATAGCTTTTCAAAAAGAGTATCTACACACAATTTTTTGGTCGATTTAATATGGCTATCTATGTCGTTGAGCATAACTTTTAGATTCATTCGCGCTGTTCCGGTCGCAAGATAACAGTAGTGGTGGGCGGGCTCAAGAACACAACGGAAGGAAGGGCCCAGTGCAGAAGGGGAGAACAACTGACTAGAAATTTTAGACTAGAAAACTATATTTCTTAAAACACCAAAGGTACCGCCAGGCTTTAGTAGCGTATTAATGAGCTCATCCACGTGATAAAAGTTTTGATTCCTCTGAGCACATAGCATATTATTCGAATCATTACTTAAATAGCTGTTATCTTAGTAGCTTAATGGCCATTGGCAGCTTGCATCGTCGCACGACTGCTCCCAGATTTCACTGTATTTACACTGATTTTTATGCTTTCCTTTATTGTCAATAAATTAAATGCACCCTTTGCTTAAGTGCAGGGTAGTAAAGTTCATGAAGAAGCAAAAAAGTGAAAATAGTAAAGTTGTCTCCGCTTACTAAATAAATATTATTGCATTCCTCAGTATGTTGCTTCAAACTGTGCGCCAAGTAAGTAAATGTTTACTTAAGTGTTGCAGCAAAAAATAAAACTGCAATGCAGAAGACGGCGGACATATTAAGTGCAAGTAAATACAAGTTACTGTGGTTTGGTAAGTTACGGGTAGAAAATTAATTTTTGCAATAGGGAAGAATATCAAACTGCATAGATATTGAGAAAAGAATTGAGCTACTGATGTGCATCAATTTGGAGATTAGTATAAGGATAAATAAAAAAACCATAAAGATAAGCATAAAGATAGGGAAAAGCAAAATGATAATGTAAAAGATAAAGGATAAAGGCAAAGGTAAGGGTAACCATAAGGGTAATAATAAAGATAAGGATAAAGATAACTACAAGGATACGTGAAAGGATAAGGACGAGGACAAGGATAAGGATAAGAATAAGGATAATGATAAGGATAAAGACGTGGATAAGAATATGTTTATATATGAAGGATAAAAATAGTGATAAGGATATGGATAAGAACAAGTATAAGGCTAAGAATGAGATGATAAGAATAAGGATAACACGTATAAGGACAATAATATCGATAAGGATAAGGATACAAATAGGTATAATGATGTGGATATGGGTAAGGGTCAGCGTAAATATAAGTAAACCGATAAGAATTTGTCCCAGGATAAAGATAACAATAAGTATAAGAGTAAGGTTAATAATAATAATAATAGATTGGCGCTTACACATATGTTAATGTTTGGCCGAGCTTCTCCTCCGATTTGTGGCATGCGTCTTGATGTCGTCACACAAAGAGGCGGGATCTACAATTTTAAGCCGACTTCGAACGGCGATTGTATTCTTATGAGAAGGTAGATATACACTCGGAGGTTTGGCATTGCCTGCCGAGGGGTGACCGCTGTTAAGAAAAAACCTTTTATTGAAATTGTTTGCGATGTTGCTTTGACCAGGACGTGAACCCAAGCCCTGCGGGGTGGAAGCGTGCACTGCTTACCACTACAGCATAGCGACCGCGAACGGGTTTAGAAAAAAGATAAGGGAAAGTATGCGATGTTTAAATATTTCCCTTACCCAGTTCTTACTATCTATATACATAAGGGTGCGTCACTCCCCATACAGCAAAAACGGGACTGTTTTTCAAATCGGAATCAAAAAATTTATTATATTTTAATACTTTCGTAAATATGAAGATTTATGGGAGAGGCTCATTTGAAAATAACTCAAAAAATTGGTTTTTTAACTGAATTATAATTTAGGAATATTTTGTCAAAAGATCACCTCAGATCGCGGAAGAGTTTAAGCTAAAAATGTCCGCATAAAAATATTTTTAAATTTTACTAATCGAATAAAAATAATGAGATATTTGGTATTGTCATTACTATATTTAGCTCACGTAAATATAAATCATATAACTCCGGTAAAAAAACCACAAAATTTTTTGGTGAGACATCCTATATGTATATACAAACATACATACCACATATCATTTAGTAAATTAAATGAATTATTAGCAGATATTTAGATATCAATCGAAATAGGTTTAAAAAGCTTATATTTCTATGGCCTTATTCATAAAAAATAAAGTAGGTTTAAAGAGCTTTATAAATTGACGTTTTCATACATTTTTCAATTTATAAACCTTTTGTAAAGCTACTTTATTTTTTATGAATAATGCCACTAGACTACGACTACATGTAGGAATGGTGCCACCAGTTTAAAAAGTCAAATTCAACTTAATTGATCAGGTAGTTAAATACGTATGTAACACAATATCAGAAGAAAAAAAATTGCGAAAGTTTTAGTTTAAAAATCATTTTTAAGAGAGTTTCACCTCTTTGAAAAGTTTAATTTAATTCAATTAAAAATAAAAAAGTTCTATTAAATATTAAAATATGTGTCGAATGAAGGAGCTTTAAGAAATCTTTAGCTTGAAAGTATTTTTGTTAGGGTCGCCACCTATTAGAAAAGTCATATCAACGTAATTATGTATGTATATACAGTGACTGAAAAAAGTGATCACGTGATAATTTTTTTTACAAAAAACTTCAAAAGCCGTCACCACAAAAAAAAAAATATTAAAAATCAACGCGACGGACTATAAAACTGCATACCTAAAAATGTTCTAAGTATTCAGATTAAAAAGTTTAAATTTTGATGATGATGATTTGTTGGTTTTTCCTAAATTTTGTATAAGTTTTAAACTGTGATTTATATGATTCTGGTTAAAGCTTGCAGAATACTTTTATAGAAAAATGACAAACAAAATTTAACTCGAAAAATATTATGAATATTTAAAAAAAATCAACACGTGGTCACTTATTCGTGTCACTGTACATTTAAATATGTATGTATAATACGCGAAGGCATTTTTTTGAAGGCACCGTTTGTTCGAATTTCAAAAGTGAGGTGTCAAATTAAATGACTTCTTTTATAAGCTTTTATTGTTTGAAGTTAGAACTATTTTCAGCGGTACAAAGTAATTTTATGCAAAAACAATTTTCGGAATTTTTGAAAAATTTCTCCCATTTTGTTGAATTTCTTGGCCAATCGCTTTGGCATTTAAACGCCATACGGATTCACTAGTGTTTATTAAATAAGAGAATTTAATATCATAAGTTAATACGTATATTTGCTAGTTTCTGCATTTGAGCACGTTGAATGACCTGACAAGTGCATTCAATACCAAAGCGGATGGAACGAATAAATAGCAGCTACATATGTATTAAATGACACATTTTACTAACATTCGTGCACAGATTGTGAGTATGAATTGACAATCAATGAAATAGCAAGAGAACAAAATACCAACATGCTAAGCTATCCTGCTTAAATTTCACAGTCAGCTGTGCTTTAGCGGCATGCAGTAGATAATAAGAATGGCCACCATTTAGTAATAACCAACCTTAAGCGCATCTAAGACAAACTTAAAGCTATGTGTGGACATTCTTATGTTCATACATAGTATGTAGATAATTGTGTGTGTATGTTTACAATAACGATGCTTCTTCATGAAATCGTAAAGCAATGCTGACTGTTGATTTACGGTGTTTTTATGCTACTACTTCA